GCCCCCTGCCAAATTGCGCAGGCGCACACATGTGCAGCTGACTCACTTCGCTCTCCTGTCCGTGGCTTCCCCCTCGCATCTGATCACACTGGGGAGCAACTGTGCGGCGGCTCAGGGGATCTGTCTGATCCCGCTGCAGCGTGTCTCTTTTGCTGCGGCTCTAAAAAGCCGCACTTCCGCCCTGGCTTTTCCTGCGGTGTGACCGGGGTCTTGGCAACTTTGGTTTATGAAAGGGGGCAAGTTACCTACAAGAAATGCAAATACAACCATTCCTATTGGGGTGGAAACATTTCAATAAACAGTGAGTGGAAAGCACTGAGTGTGCCACAGTTTTATAGCATTGAATCAGTGTTTGAGTTGGCACTCACTCAAGAGGTGGAAAAGCCCTTTCTTAAAAACAAGCAGGAATATGGCATTGGAGCCGTTTTGCTGTATTCTAAGAGTAAACACATTCCTTACCCACAGGCATCTGACATTTGGTTGCTCATGTTGCCCATTAGTGTGTATGTCTGCTGTCAAGTGGCAGGTGACCCCCCCTTAGGGTTTCCAAGGCAAGAGGCATTCAGAGGTGGTTTGCCACGGCCTGCCTCTGCTTAGCGAACCTGGACTTCCTGGCTGGTCTCCCATCCAAATACAAACCAGGGCTGATCCTGCTTAGCTTCTGAGGTCTGATGCGACCAAGCTAGCCTGGGGCACCCAGATCAGGGCTGCCCATTACATGGGGTGCACACTGTTAGCTGTAAGCATGCAACAACCCCGAAAAGTGGTACATTGGCGCCCTTTCCAGAGCAACCTTCTCTTTATCTTATTTGACAGTCATCTAAGATGTTTATCTGGCTGGTCCTCTGGATAAACTTGTAAAAGACCCACCATAAGGAAATGCGGTACATGCAACTGGACTGTGTAGAATTACCCAATTTGTGGGAAACTGGAATAATGATACACACATGGAAAAATCTTGAGCCCTGCTATATCACCAGAGGTTTGACTATAGTAAATTGACTATAATGATTTTCATACTTCTTCAAAACCCTGCAGTGCGAAGTCAGACTGTACACAGAACAGAATCGCATGCAGTTTTCCATACTGTCGAACACCAGAGTGCCCAAGGCTTGCATACTCCAAGGCACAAGCCTGAAAGCTTCTGCGCACACGTGCATGCACCCACTGGCCGTATGAAGAGAAAGGCTTTTAGGCTCGCATTCCCCCCAATATGCTAGCTTCCTTTGTTGAGGAAGTTGTTTTTCCTCTTCTGTGTGAAGCTCTTAAGACATGCACTCAGGCGAGGAAGGCACCTTGGGAAATCTGTACCATAGGTTTTTCCTACATGTACAGATCATCCTCCACTAAGAGGCCTGTAGGATAGCAAAGTCACATTTGCTGTGACGTGTCCAGCTGCTGTGACCTTTTCACATAACTCTTTCTTAGCCCATCACACAAGCTGATTTACAGGGCAGATGGAACACCGAGACATTGCCTTCGCCTTGCAAACCTGCTCCAGTCTCCAGGCCTGGAAGTTCTAGAAAGACTGTGGTCATTTTAACCAAAGAGGACACTTTTAAAATTAATATTTAAATTCTAACAACACTCTCCTTTGTATGCGCCTATCAAACTGCAGTGGCTCAAGTGGTTAAGACGCTGAACTGCAGGCTGCGGAAGGTCGGTAGTTCAGCAGTTCGAGACCCGGGTGCGCCGCATGACGGAGTGAGCTCCCGTCTCTAGTTCTAGCTCCTGCCAACCTGGCAGTTCGAAAGCAAGAAATTGCAAGTAGATAAATAGGTACCTGCCAACCTAGCAGTTCGAAAGCAAGAAATTGCAAGTAGATAAATAGGTACCACTTTGCTGGGAAGGTAACAGCGTTCCGTGCACCTTGGTGATGATGGAGAGTCGGACTCGACTGGCTTTCGAGCAAGGGAACCTTTACCTTTAACTTTAAATAGGTACCACTTCAGTGGGAAGGGAATAGCGTTCCGTGCGCCTTGGTGTTTAGTCATGCCGGCCACATGACCACGCTGGCTCTTCGGCTTTGAAACTGAGATGAGCACCGCAACCCTAGAGTCGGATTCGACTGGCTTTGGAGCAAGGGAACCTTTACCTTTACATCAAACCAAAATGACCAAAATGCTGGAGAGCTTGTTTTTTGCCAATTAGTAGTTGAACAGTGCCCTCTGCTGGAGAAATCTAGTTTCAAGAATTAACATTTTATGGAAACACCGAGCTTTAGTATAAGAGGAGCAAAGAGGCATGCCTTTTAGCCAAAGTGCCAAAACCCTTGCAATGCCCACTTGCTGGGATACCAACAACCAAAGGGAGCAAAGTTGTACATGGTCTGTCACATTGGGAGCACGCATTGTGCCCTTCAGGCTCACTTCGGAGAAGCCACCTGGGGTGCCAAACAAACTGGTGTGGGCATACTGCCGGTGAGCACATGGACCTATCCCTGCTGTACAGTAATAGCTCCTTTGACACTATGGTGACACTACTAAAGGGGCTACTGAACTTGAATCCCACTGACAGTGGTGGTATCATCATTTCTTATGCAGGAGTAACATAAAAGGCAACAACTAGAAGAGGTGGCAACCACCAGCTGACTGCCAGGATTATGCACCTGTGCTGGAGCCTCACAGGAAGCCTGTTCAGGTCACCTTCCCCGTCGAGGCTTCTGCCCAGGAGAGCTATAGTCACTCTTGCTGTGAGCCTTGTGGCTCCGACTGAGGTGCTGTTCCTCAGCAGTGTAGGTCATTCATAGATCTCCAAAGTAATGGGGATGGTGGCAGTGTGGCCATGATTACATCTGGCTGGGATGACCCTGCAGCAGAGCTGCTGCCACCCAACCTCTCCCCCATCCTTCTTAAAATTACCCCTGCAAGTAAGAGTGCTATAACAAAACAGCTATGCGGGATGTCTTACGACACTCATAGCCTGCCTCAACATGGCGGCGGTGGAGGAATGTCCTCTCAGAGCTCCTTCAGCCCCACGTCCCTCACAGGCAATGCTCCCTCTAAGCCGTGGAGTCTTGTGAGTAAAAATTCTACTTTGTAAGCTACTGGCACTGAAGTTGTGAGCAAGCAATTTGCCTACTGCATAAATTAGTTTGCTCTGGAGCCATCCTTCCTGAGCGAAGACAAAAATGTGGAGCTGTGAGCTAGCTCACACTAACTCAGTTTAGAGGGAACACTGCTCACAGGGTGTCTGTTGTGGGGAGAAGATGGGAAGGAGATTGTAATCTGCTTTGAGACTCCTTCAGCTAGAGAAAAGCAGAGTATAAAAACCAACTCTTCCTCTTCTCTGCATAGCAACGCTGGAATTTCTTGGTGGTCTCCCATCCAAATACTAACCAGGGCCAACCCTGCTTAAGTTTCTGAGATCTGATAAGATCAGGCTAGGCTCTAATATGGTACACAGCAAAGGGTATTTTGAAAGCAGTCTTCAGCCCCCACACAAACATCCTAATTCCAGAGATGTTCCTATAGCCAATTTATTATGATCAAAGCAATACTGTGGGGTATTTTTAAAGCATGTAATCAGGAGAGCAGATAATCCAGAAGTCTTTTTTCAATTCTTTGTTTTCTGCTGGTCAGCTTTACTCATCCAAATATCCAATTTACTTCAGCACAAGCTGTACCAGCATCTATGGGGTTAAAACTGAAATATTAACTTGAACTGATGATATGTCAATATTTTCATGAAAATAAAATTGTGTTCAAAAAAAAAAAGTTGTACCAGCATCTAGTTATTTCACAATGCGGTTATGTACAAATGGCTAAATGCATTTGACATGCAGGCCCACTTCATAACTTGTTTATTAAAGGTGCACCCATAAAACTGGATGCACACACCTAAGCAATAGTGTAACTAACCAGTCTCTCTCTAAGCCATGTGCATTATTGCAGGTACAACTGCAAGGGAGTCATGATTGGTTCTGTGCCCTAACACATAGACATGAGAGCAACACAAATTTAGCACCATACAACATGTGAAGAGTGTGGGAAACACACACGGAAACAGTTTGTATACCCCAAGAACATCTCTAGACCCCAGCTGCGGTATTTGGGTTTAATTTTTACCTGTATTATAAGAACCTTAAGTTTATAAATAAAGTTTATAAGATGCTGAACTGCAGGCTGTGGAAGGTCAGTAGTTCAGCAGTTCAAGACCCGAGTGTGCCGCATGACGGAGTGAGCTCCCGTCTCTAGTTCCAGCTCCTGCCAACCTAGCAGTTCGAAAGCAAGAAATTGCAAGTAGATATATAGGTACCACTTCAGTGGGAAGGGAACAGCGTTCCGTGCGCCTTGGTGTTTCGTCATGCCGGCCACATGACCACGGAAAAGTCTTCGGACAGCGCTGGCTCTTTGGCTTTGAAACAGAGATGAGCACCGCAACCCTAGAGTCGGATTCGACTGGCTTTCGAGCAAGGGAACCTTTACCTTTTTAAGTTTATAAAAAATCTTGCACTTATTTGCATGATCTAAAGATGAAGCTGCATTTAGAGTACTTTTCAACCTGAGTGAGTTTGGCTTTTTGTCAATCACATTTCCCAGTTGTCAAGCAAGAATTTCATCAAAAGAATGACTACACTAGAGACACAGGACAACCATTCTGGGCTTAGTTACATGGGACTGGTGAGTTCTATCAAAGGCAGCAGCTTAATTCCAGTCTCTCAACTGCAGGAAGATCTGCACTCATGCTACTCCAGACCAACTAAACTCAAGTGTATGTTGAATGAATATTAGCTTATCACTCTTGTATCCCATTCTTTCCTCCAGAGTGTTTGAGGTATGATTCTCCGTACATGTGCACCTATGCGCATACACCCACATCCAGAAACAGGACTGAGATACTGCAAGACACTACTAAACTTGTAATAGTTCAAATGGATGGGGGGGTGGGGAGAATTACACAAGTTTCAACTATTTTACCTGCCAACCAAGGGCACATAAACAGGAATCCATCCCTGATGAGTGCTTTGAAATTCAAAAGCTAGTCTCATGAAAGGTTCAATAAAAATATCTTTTATTTTGTGTGTCTCATTTTAGGATAACATCACAACATCTTGATTTATGGAATTGCTTTTATATAACAGGAACTGAGTACAACTAACCTCGACTTGCAGCAGAAGCTTCAGCTTCAACAACCAGCGCTGATGAGTGCCTTCAAACTTCAGAAGCATACAACACTGGTCATATCATCGAGTGTTAAAGATTTTAAACCATTCCTATGCAATTTTATTTTGCACTTTATGATTTACAATGCCTTGATTAGACAAAAATAGCATATTGGTAAACTAAACTCAAATCCAAGATACAAACCAACATAATATAGAAGAAACTCTTTTTTAGTTTTGTAGCATAGATCACACCCCAGTGCTTTTAACATTGCTGTGAAATACTCCAGTTGCTATTTATAGCAAATAATGATTTCTGTGAAGAACATTTTGGTCTAATTTAAAGAGCAGCTTATGTACCAATGAACTTTGCTGTAATACAAGTTTGTCCATAAATTACAGCAGCTTGTAAATCCCTCAAAAGGTGTAACACAGTCAGAATCCAACTGCAAGCGCAACTTTTTGAGTATATAGCCAGAGAGAGAAGTTACAGACTGTCTTCAATAGAGTAAGGTACACTAACTGGAACAAAAAGATTTAGTATGCTTATTGCAAGATTCTCTTAGCTATAACAGGCAGTACATCTGTGCAGATATGTTATTGCTGTGGGTAAGGGTATCCAGGTTGTTGTGGGTAAGGGTATCCAGGTTGCTGAGGTCCAGGGTATGGTGCTTGTCCAGGATTTTGGTATACAGGTGAAGGTGTATACGGCACATTGTATTGGCCATACATATAAGGATTGTATCCCATCGGTAAAGGCATCTGGCAATACCTGTAAAAACAAGGGCCACAAATGGCAGAATGTATCTATTAACACACTGCTTTATAACTATGACAGCAGAACACATGGGTATCCAAAGCTAGCATAACCCAAAGTGGACACCTCTAGTATAAACACTTTAATTCATAAATGCTTTGCTGAAGGTGGTAGCAACATTCACACACCACTGTTAACCAGGAACTCTTTAAAAAGGTGAGAAGTATAATGTCAGTGTTATAAAATATTTTGGGATTGCAATCCATTTTTAAACAGGTTCCATAGTTACAAATTTCAATTATCTAATAATAAGTCTCCTCCCTTACTTGCAGGTAGTCATAGGATTAAACAGACCTTTTTCATGCATCCTTCTCACTACCTGGTAGCTGCAAATGTTTTAGCCTGCACAGTAAAGCAGTTCTGGCTTTGTGATGTCTTTGGGTTTTTTAAAAAAGGAGAAGAATATGGCAGGTGGAAGCAACAGAGTAACAGCAATGCTTCCTTTTTTCACTCCGGTATCTTTTAGTTTTTTTAAAAAAAGGAAAAATATTATACAACTGCTGTAAAAAGGAGAAGAATATGGCAGCTGGAAGCAACCTTTTTTCACTCCGGTATCTTTTAGTTTAAAAAAAAAGGAAAAATATTATACAACTGCTGCCACCAATAGGTAGCGTTAGGGGCTTCTCAGGCCTTTTGGCATCCCCCTCAATTTCAGCTCAGCTCTCATCAGGATAAAGAATTGGTAGTTATTTCTGTTTGTCCTGGACTATCAAAAAACATGCACGCATTTTATGATGCTGCTTCTTGGTGGCAGACACAGAAATACTGTATTTTGTATGCCTCATCCAAAAAAATCTCTACCTATGAAAGTACTTAATTTAAGTTAGCAAAATTGTATGTAGAGCCATAATGCAAAGTGAAAGGCCGCTCCATCTACAATCCTACAATCCTGACAGCTACAAAGAAGCTGCAGATTCTTTTTGCCATCAGAAGAATTTAAAACGCCAATGATCTAAGTGAAGCACTTTTAGATTTCAGCTGAGTTTGAGACGTTTAATTTTGCTGTTTAATTCCTTCCGCCAAATCAATGGGATTATAAAATGGTTTAGCGTGGTCTAGGTTGAGCCCTAAGAACAACAAGCCAACATTAGAATTGCGTCAAATCCACAGTTGTCCAAACTTCCAAATGTCACTTCTAGTCACTATTCTTCAAAATACTATCATTTTAAAGCTAAAATACCAAGGTTTCATTTTTAATAGAACTTGAGCACACCAATGGAAGCGAAAGTGGTCTGTATCCTATCACACTGCAGAGTACTCCTTCCACAGAAAATCTTTTCTGCCAAAGCAGGGCTCTGGACTTAACTAAGAAAATATTTTAACTGTTTTTATTTCTTACTGCATCTTAAACTTGGTACAACTATTCCTTAACCATCCAGAGCTCTTCCCTGAAATTCTAGCAGTGCCAAGATACCACTTAAATATTCTTGCAGGCTTACCCGGGGTACCCTGGGTAAGTGGGATATGGCGGTCCCTGAGCCTGCGAATGTGCTGTGCTGGTTGCAGAACTAGCTGGAACAGCCATTGTCCCGGAGGCAGCTGGTGGGGGAGCTGAGACTGTATTTGCTGTCGAAATCACTGGTGGCGGAGGACGTGCTGGTGGCTGTGGCTTACTAGACTACATAAGAAGATGAAAGTTAGAGAAACTCTAGGACAGAAGCACACGCTGTTTTATATTTGTGACATTTTATTTATTTATTTGGTTGGTTTTCGCATTATTAGCCCACCCATCCCATAAACGGGGTCAAGGTGGGTCACAACAGTTTGATAAATACAATAAAATGTAAAACACATTAAAACACATAAGTAGCTTTGCTCTGAAAAAAAAATAACGAAAGGAATACCGAGTGCAAACAGAAGTATAGCGGTCAAGCTGCAAACAGTGCTATTAGTAGCCACTACAGAACAGCTTCTGTCTCATTGAAAAGGAACTCAGGCTATATTCCAACACCTTAAGACACAAGGCTAGCTTTGTTAACTTGGGCTACGATCAATCACAGTGTTACATTGTTATCTTTACTTACCACCATGGTTCTGGGGGCCGGGGTCGGAGCAGACGATGCAGGCGGTTTGTTTCCTCCAGCAGGACCCGTTTGATAGGCAGGCACAGAAGGAAAAGAAGGGGCACTGGGCTCTCTAGCAATACTTTGCTGCAAATCTCTTTAAAAAATTAAAATATTTCCCATAAAATCTGAAGAACATGTACTTACTCAAAATACTTTTGTTTAATATAGACAATATCTTGATGCTCATTCTTTATATCTATCATAGAGCCCATGTAACAGGGAAAGCTAAAATTTATTAATGGGGTCATATTAGGTGTCTCCTTAGATTACTGTACTTCAGACCTCAAACACTGGTTTGAATTCATATCTATGGGGGAAATGTGTTAATTTCCCTCCAGCTTCTGCCCAAGATGTGTGAAATAAGAATGCTTAAATATCCCTACACCTAAATTGGGCCTAATTGGGCCCAATGAGAGAGATCATTTCATTTCTTATATATCTTACCATTTGGGATCAACAAGGCAACCATCCTACCTTAGACAGTATTCTACAGTTCTATACATAGTAGGCAAGAGCTTTTATCAATTAAACATAGAAGTGTCTTTCTGCTAATTTTTCTACAGAAACTGGCAAGCACTCTTGACTAGATTGCACTGTTCCTTCAAAAAGCAGTTAAATCAAGCCAAAACGCAAATTTTATTAAGTATATTTGAAAGTACAGGAAGCTTACTTCAGAAGTTCATCTCTTTCTGTTTTTCGTGCAAAGACAATGTCACTGCATTTGTTTTGGAACTTCAGAAGGATTTCAGTCAGCTCATTGTAGAACTAGGAAGTAAACATCTATCTATGAAACATTTTGTTGTTTTGAATGTTGACATTTAAAATGCTTTTCATGGAAAAACTGATTGCAACGAAGTATTTCACACTTCACGGTAGTTTTTGACACTAAAAATGGAAATAGTGTTTTCTGAAACTGAATGCCATGGATATGAGGCTACATATTGCAAGCCCATGATGCATTTACCTAAGTATACATTTTGACACAAGTACTCCTAAGAAAGCAGCATGGGATTTGAGAGGCCAAGCGCATTATTTAAGACATTCTGGGTTCCCATCTCCAATCATGCAAATACAGCCCAAACTGAAGAGCACCAAAGCAATGACAATCTGGGTTTTCCATGACCATTCTAGAACAAAACAGGCCACAGGAATGTAGCTCAGTCCAAGATATTTTATATGTAGCAAAATATTAATCCACTTTTGGTAATTACTGTGATATGAAATATGGCGAGTTCTCATTTCTTCACTTTGTTACATTCTGGTTGACTGGAACCTAAATAAGATCTACTGTGACTCATATTCAGCATGCTTAGATTCAAAATTGCTGTTTTTGTTGTTGTTCAGTCGAACAGTCGAGTCTGACTCTTCACGTCCCCATAGACCACATCACGCCAGACCCTCCTGTCTTCTGTCATGCTCCGGAGTTTGCTTAATTTCATGTTCATTGCCTCGATAACACTGTCTAACAATTTCATCCTTTGCCGTCCCCGTCTTCTTTGACCTTCGATCTTTCCCAGCATCAGGGTCTTCTCCAGTGAGTGCTCCCTTCTCATTTGGTGGCCAAAGTATTTGAGCTTCAGTTTCATTATCTGGCCTTCCAGGGAACAGTCAGGGTTGATTTCTTTTAGGATTGACTGATTTGATCTTCTTGCAGTCCAAGGGACTCTCAAGAGTCTCCTCCAGCACCATAGTTCAAAAGAATCTATTCTTCGGCACTCGGCCTTCCTTACAGTCCAACTCTCGCAGCCATACATGACTACTGGGAATACCATTGCTTGGACCATGCGTATTTTTGTTGGCAGGGTGATGTCTCTACTTTTTATCATGCTGTTTAGGTTCACCATCGCTTTCCTCCCAAGGAGCAGGCGTCTTTTAATTTCATGGCTGCAGTCACAGTCTGCGGTGATTTGATGACTAGGGAGCCATGTACCTGATGTTATCTGCAGGTCGTCTTGAACGCATGCCGCATGATGGAGTGAGCTCCCGTCTCTAGTTCCAGCTCCTGCCCACCTAGCAGTTTGAAAGCAAGAAATTGCAAGAAGATAAATAGGTACCACTTCAGTGGGAAGGTAACAGCGTTCCATGCGCCTTGGTGTTTAATCATGCCGGCCACATGACCACAGAAACATCTTCGGACAGTGCTGGCTCTTCGGCTTTGAAACGGAGATGAGCACCGCAACCCTAGAGTCGGATTCGACTGGCTTTCGCGCAAGGGAACCTTTACCTTTACTCTGCATATAAATTACATAAGCAAGGGGACAATATACATCTTTGTCGTACTCCTTTTCCTATGCTAAACCAATCAGTTGTTCCATATCCTGTTCTAACTGTCGCTTCTTGACCCTTATACAGGTTTCTCAAGAGACATGTGAGGTGGTCTGGTACTCCATCTCTTTAAGGACTTGCCATAGTTTGTTGTGATCCACTTGTAGAGTCTTTAGCATGACCTTGCTAGCGTGTGAAATGAGTGCAATTGTGCGATAGTTTGAACATTCCTTGGCATTGCCCTTCTTTGGGATTGGAATGTATAATGACCATTTCCAATCCTGTGGCCACTGTTGTGTTTTCCAAATTTGCTGACAAATTGAGTGCAGCACTTTAACAGCATCATCTTTTAAGACTTTGAATAGCTCAGCTGGGATACCATCACCTCCACTAGCTTTGTTGTTAGTAATGCTTTCTAAGGCCCATTTAACTTCACATTCCAGGATGTCTGGCTCGAGGTCAGTGATTACACCATCGTGGTTGTCAAGGACATTGAGGTCCTTCTTGTATAGTTCTTCTGTGTATTCTTGCAATCTTTTCCTAATCTCTTCTGCTTCTGTTAGGTCCCGACCGTTTTTGTCCTTTATCATGGCCAGCTTTGCATGGAACGATCCCTTGATTTCTCCAATTTTCTTGAAGAGATCTCTATTCCTTCCCATTCTATTGTTTTCCTCTATTACTTTGCACTGTTCATTCAGGAAAGCCTCCTTATCTCTCCTTGCTGTTGCTACTAAACAAATGGCTTGTTCTCTTGCAAACTGCCTTGGGAATCCCATGTTAGAATGGGGGGAAACCCTTTTAATATATGCTGCTTTCAACCTGACCTTGGTAATTCAAATTCTTTCAACTGGCATCCTGAAAGCAAACTGTCTATAAAGGTACCTTGCACAAACTGAATGGCATGCAGGATGCCTTTCTGTAGATATCTAACATGCTGATGAGATACACACACAAATCCTCCATCAATCCACATTCTCCTTTTCTATCTGGTTTACCAGGTTTTTTTTAAATGAAGCTAGAAGCCTAGGTTTTCAACAGTTCTAAACAGTCGGCACCACCTGGAAAAATCCTGTTTCTTAAAATCTCAAAGCTGGCTATACCCTTCACTTTTATTATTTGTTTTTCATTATCAACATTTAAAAAACTGCAACAACACTAATGTGGCCATTTCAAACCCAGTATCACTGACAATGCTTCTGCAATATCACCACTTCTACAGTTTCCAAATGTGAAATTTAAAATTTGCGTTCCTTCCACGTAGGGTACACAAATGCAGGCAAGCAGCTCCTGCCTCCCCCTTACCAATAAGCGGTATTCCAGAGTACTGGAAGTTTGTTCTTTGAGTAAGAAACAGCAAATACAGAATAAAGCCATGGAATTGCTGGTCCTTACTGCATATACATACTGTATCATACTACTCATACCTTTGTTCCTTCTTTCAGGTTGGCAACAAGTTCCACAAAGTTGTCATTGGCTACAGCTAAGTTCTTTAAAACTTCTTCCCTTAAATTCGATTCATTATTTGATTGCTTCATCTTAGAAAATTCTTGATGCGAATTCTGTTAAGAGGAAAAGCGAGTTAAATGGATGCATTTTCCCTCAAGTGCACAATCGTTCTTTCCTAGCATAAAAGAAATATGAATTGCATGCTATTCAGCTTGTACAAGAATGCTCTGCATTTAAATTATAAATGCAAGTGTTTGGCAATTCTCTGTATCAAGGTGAAAACATATAATCGATGGCATGGCTTTGAAACCAATGAAACATGCAGCTATTATGCCATGGTTGACCTTGGAATGTTATTACAACGTATACTAGATACCTGAATGCTGTTGAGAAGTTCCTCCTGCTTTTTCAGAGACTCCTGTACCTTATGGGTGAGACTGCCATACAGACGATCTAATTCAGTCACAGAAACAGCTTCTTCATTTACAGCACCATCCTGTGCAAGTGCTGTTAGGAATTTACTTGTCATATCAAAGTTCACCGATTTCAGATCATTCTCAA